CACAAACACCAGATGGAGATTGGTCATGTTATGAGAAGGAGGAAACTGGAACATGTGACCACTGGAAATATCTGTAGCAAGAGAGATAGAAAAGAACGGGGTTAGAAGATTATTGATGGCCATTTGTCATGAATATAAGGGTGTCAATACAGTAACTTATACAGACAGTTGCAGATAGCAGATTGTGGAGAGGCTTGATCGCCCATGCCAGTCGTCAAGGTATTTGATGGCGATCATCTAAATCATATTTCTGCTGTACTACTATACGTCATATAATGGATGTTTAACCACTTCCATACAGACTGTATGAGACAGGTACTGAACATCAAGTGGCAATCAGAGTCCTGGATACTGTCATACTGGATAGAGCGGGCATTCCCAGCATCGATACTATTCTAATCTAGTTACAGTCACGTTGACCGCTTGCCAGACCATCGACTCCTAAAAATAATCTTTGTTATGGTGAGCTGAAAGAAGGTAGACGCTCTCATAGTGGCCAGGGGAAACAACGCTTCAAGAAATGCTAAATATACCGCTTAAAGCCTTAAATATAAACCTTGACATTTGGGAGGTTGATGTACGAGACTGGACAACATGGCGAACGTCTATCCGAATAGGAGCAGCAAAATGCGAGGCATCTAGTAAAAGGGCAGCTGAACAGCGAAGTCAGGCTAGAAAGAGCGGTACAATAGCCCCTGAACTTCAAATACTGTTCCCAGGCCTCAATGTGCTATATCCTTTCGGGCAGGTAATGGTCATGTTTCAGCACGAGACACAGACAGTTGTTTCAACTATAGTTTGATGACGGATGAAATAAAGAGTGGGCCTCATCATTTGTGATAAAGGAACAACAACAATGCCACATAGAGCTCGAAGTCTAATTTACCCTTCCAATCTATCTTCAGCAATCCTCTCATTGTCATGGATAGAGTCTAGTCTAAGAAATTTTGCTGATCTCAGCAACGTTTGTATAAGGGCTTTCTCTTGGAGTTTCTCCTTACTCAATCCACTTGTTTCCCTTTTCACTGTCAGTTTACTTATTCCCTGTCCCCTGATGTGTTGTATCTAAGATAATTTTATCTTCTTTTTCTTAAAACTCTCATTATCATTCTTTAATTCATCCCATTAAATGTTCATCATTATCAGGCATTTTTTTTCTTTCCGAAAGCATTTAACTTTCGTTACCTTTTGATGTTTCCTTCCTAATCCTGTTGCTCATTCTCCCACACTGCCTTGGAAATCGTGTCCAGTAGTACTCTACTATTTGGGTCAGGGTCAACCGTTATAAGTTCAAGGATACGTCCTGTAAAGACCATGCATCTCTCTGGTAAAATACCATTACTTCTTCTTCACGTTCACCAGCTTTAAGCTCAGGGCGAACAGTTGTGGTTGTTCGTCCCCTTCAAAACTGTAATCGTTACTAAGCTCTGTTTATCCAGGCCATATTAACTACTCACTCTAGAGGATTCCACAAAGCCACACATAAAAGGTGTAACTGCAAAAAGGATTTGGATAATGGAACACTGACTTCAACATGTCTTTACTGTTGGCGCAGTGTAAAACGAGGGGGAGGGGGGGGGGGAGGGTCGTTAACTTTTTCTGTCACATCAGAAAACGGCTAAATAGAAACTAACTGCTCCTTTATGTGGAGACATCATGAAGGATGACACCGGATGATTTAGAATAGTTGCCCCTTTTTAGTTGGGTTTTTTAAGTTTTGTCACAGATTACTGTCACTCCAAACCGATGTCCCCATACGGAATCTTGTGTCATCTCATAGAAGACCAGGGAGTCAAGATCAATTCTTATAAGCGGAAAAAAACATCTACCTCTTTGAGGATTTGAGCCCAAAACATTCTGACCGACATTACAATGTCCAGCTGCTGCGCCACCTCGACTCTCAGCTGCCTGTGTTGTTTCTGTATATTTTATTTTTTTGTTTTGAGCGACAGGGGCATTTTATCTTTCTTTAGAATGTATGTTCCCTGGAACCCCCATCGTGAAAGGAATAAGGGGAGGGAAAATAGTTTAGAGAAGTGAAATAAAGAGCAAAGTGAAAAATATGGAGAGGTTATAAGATACACACGATGGCAACGTAAAGGATGACCTTCAGTGAGCAGGTTGAGGGCCTATGCTCCACTGGGGGATACAGGAAGATGAAGAAGACTCCATAGGTATCTGAGAAGAATGCCAATTGAAGACGATTAAAAAAAAGTCATAACTGTACACAGAGTTTGAAAATTCAAGTTTTGTAAAAGTAACTTCCAATATGTTATGACAATGTTTATGTAATGTCTACAATTAACATAATAATCTTCAGTACAACGTTGAGTCTGAGTATGAGGTAAATGAAATAAGTATGAGATGGTATAAAATGCTCAAGACGGCAGAATGTATATATAGGAGCAATAATGATAACAATGTTGTACACATAATGTGAGGCACATAAATATTATTATATACCAGTGTTTCCAAAACTTTCGTTAGTCGCGGCGCCTTTTTTTTTTCAAATAAAATTTTTCCATGGCGCCTTTTTTCAATTGAAATTTCTCCACGGCGCCCTAAACTAAGTAAAAGTATGACTATTCTATGTAAGAGATTAAAAACAACAAAAAAAACTTGTTTATCTTCAAATATTTCGCGGCGCCCCTGGGAATAGGTCGCTCCTCCCAGGGGCGCCGCGGCGCACAGTTTTGGAAACACTGTTATTTACAATTAACAAACACAAGTTATATCGCAGTGAGACTTAGCTGAACTTATATATTCGTGCAGACCAATACAAATAAATCTGTACTATAGTACAACACCGAGATACACATATCACACAAACACATGTGCCATAATACAGGGGAAAGACACGAAATAAAAGATACGTTTAAAAAGACTGGTGCACACTGTAATCAGAAATTGCTGGGGTTGACATGGGGCTGATTTTATGTTTTTTTTTTTTTTTAAATAGTGTCACAAAATTGCATGGCAAAACCATATTTTCTGAAGACAAAAAGAAGGAGGAGTGGGAGAAAAAGAATAGAAAGGGCGAAGTGAAGATGGTTTGATCGCAAGTCATGAACATAAACTAATAGTAGACCTGGCGTAGACCTAATTATCGATTTTTGTGATAATGCCTGATGGCACACCATATAATGCAGACTATATATATATATTTATATATATACATATATATCAAACAGGACACTAGGCAATGAGAAGGTAAAATAAATATCAAGCGTACAACAAAAGGTACAAACTATAGAATGTTTGTAAAGATTCATCACACGTTGCATGCAGAAGAAATTTGAAAAACCCAAGTACGTGACGTCAACAAGAAACCTACTTGACAAACCCATTAAATTAGTTCAAATATTTACTGCTACGGTCTAACGCTGTTATTTGACGAGCTGGAAAGTACCAATGAAATATTCATTATAACAGGTTTTGGAAATTTCCACACGGACTTCAAGACGTGACAGTACAAATCTCTTTATATTGTCAAAAACTTTTTGCAACACGGCTGTAGTTTTTCTGGAATTGTAATTCTAATTGCTTCTTTTATGTCCTTAACTGTATGTACATTATTTCAAGAAATCACATACATAATAATCGAATCGAGTTGGATCTGGAGTACGAGCAGACCATATTCCACGTAATATTATGCGATTTGCAAAAATTTCTGTGATGCTCTATCTGTATGTGCAGTTGCGCCATTTCAGAACAGTTATTTAACAAATAAACTAACCAAAAAAAAAAAGAAAGAAAAAAAAAATAATAATCTTTCTTCCGTTGACAACGCCATTATGTTTTGTGAAGAAAAAAAGAGAATTACTTCGACAGACGACAGCCATTTTCTGCAGATTGCTTTACTTTTGAATGTAGAGCATATTTATTTCGTTGGTGTCATGTAATTCGTTCTGCAAATCTGTTCAACTCTTACATACAAAGATTGTTAATATACCCTGTATATATATACTGATTAAACAGAAACATACTGCAACATTACATAGAGATATCGTACATACAGTACATAAACTGAATGGGTTCAGCATAAAACAGGGATACAACAAATCCACAACATTGCCGGGGAAATAAAATCCATCCCACATATTCATCACCAAGTCGCAGGTCTTTACAGAACGTCGCTTTAAAAAAAAATTTGGTCTCTGGGCAGTTCTTCCGCCTTTTGCACTCTCTTCCCCAAGGCCTGACTGATATCCTTTGTCCATCTTCGTGCTGATCGATCCCTGCCCCTGTTTCATGGTACCATGCCTTCTGCTAATATTCTTTCCAATCCGCCTAGTCGCTCGCAGCGGATCGGAAGGTCGTTGGTTCGCTCCCTGGCGGAGCCGGACTATTTTCAAAAATGACCTTGGCTCCCAGGTCGACCCAGCCATGAGTGGGTACCGGGTGCTGTCCCGGGAAAAAAAGGCGGCCGGCGTGATGCTGAATACATCACCCCTCTTGTGCCGATTGGTCTATAAAAATATATAGGTCTAGCCCTATATGCCTAAATGCGTGGAAAAGGGTCCTTTACTTTTTTTTTATTGCCATAGCATGCATTTAATATGTGCGTCTCCTCAGAGGTTCAATGCTTAACTTTTGTGCCGCCATTTTGTCATTGATTGTTACTCCACTGCTGATAACATTTTGGGACCAGTTATGGCAGGGATGCAGTTCCTCTCCATCATAACACAGTTAATCAAGTAACGGCAGTTCCGACTTAACAACGAACGTGCCACCCCAAAGTTGCTCCGTTTTGTGCCATGAAATCCGCACAGAATATCCATCTGAGAAAAAAAGATTTGACGCCTACTGCAGTCACAACAAAGTCAATAGCACTAATGCAGATGACAGCCATTAGAAGTACCAACACAAACTGTCCAACACAACAAACGCAGTGCTTTGTCGATGTAAACTGTAGTTAAAACATATCCGTGGTTGCATAAGGTACCACCAGTTCCCTGCAAGGACTGGGCAGTACTGCAGAGGCAATGCGGTGCGTTTGCTTAAAAAGCGTGCCCAGAATCTGCTGATTTGTAGAAATACATGCACTTGAGTGTCTTAACTACAGCATCAGCAGATAGATAAATACACTTGAGTGTCTTAACTACAGCATCAGCAGATAGATAAATACACTTGAGTGTCTTAACTACAGCATCAGCAGATAGATAAATACACTTGAGTGTCTTAACTACAGCATCAGCAGATAGATAAATACACTTGAGTGTCTTAACTACAGCATCAGCAGATAGATAAATACACTTGAGTGTCTTAACTACAGCATCAGCAGATAGATAAATACACTTGAGTGTCTTAACTACAGCATCAGCAGATAGATAAATACACTTGAGTGTCTTAACTACAGCATCAGCAGATAGATAAATACACTTGAGTGTCTTAACTACAGCATCAGCAGATAGATAAATACACTTGAGTGTCTTAACTACAGCATCAGCAGATAGATAAATACACTTGAGTGTCTTAACTACAGCATCAGCAGATAGATACATGCACTTGAGTGTCTTAACTACAGCATCAGCAGATAGATAAATACACTAGAGTGTCTTAACTACAGCATCAGCAGATAGATAAATACACTTGAGTGTCTTAACTACAGCATCAGCAGATAGATACATGCACTTGAGTGTCTTAACTACAGCATCAGCAGATAGATACATGCACTTGAGTGTCTTAACTACAGCATCAGCAGATAGATAAATACACTTGAGTGTCTTAACTACAGCATCAGCAGATAGATAAATACACTTGAGTGTCTTAACTACAGCATCAGCAGATAGATACATGCACTTGAGTGTCTTAACTACAGCATCAGCAGATAGATACATGCACTTGAGTGTCTTAACTACAGCATCAGCAGATAGATAAATACACTTGAGTGTCTTAACTACAGCATCAGCAGATAGATACATGCACTTGAGTGTCTTAACTACAGCATCAGCAGATAGATAAATACACTTAAGTGTCTTAACTACAGCATCAGCAGATAGATAAATACACTTGAGTGTCTTAACTACAGCATCAGCAGATAGATACATACACTTGAGTGTCTTAACTACAGCATCAGCAGATAGATACATACACTTGAGTGTCTTAACTACAGCATCAGCACATAGATAAATACACTTGAGTGTCTTAACTACAGCATCAGCACATAGATAAATACACTTGAGTGTCTTAACTACAGCATCAGCAGATAGATACATACACTTGAGTGTCTTAACTACAGCATCAGCAGATAGATACATACACTTGAGTGTCTTAACTACAGCATCAGCACATAGATAAATACACTTGAGTGTCTTAACTACAGCATCAGCAGATAGATACATACACTTGTCTTTTCTTATTTTATTCCCATTTCCCAGAGGATTCTGCTCGGATGGGTTTATAATGATAGAGTAAATACAGACATCATACAACAAATATCATAGATCTAACAGAAAACAAGAAGTATCACACATACAACATATGTAGATAGCATATGGAACAGAAATATCTTTGGTATAACATGCAACATAGCACAATCATTATAAGATCTTAACAGTTAAAGCTTTTGGATCACAGTGGCATAGGCGAATTGAAAACAATCAATCAACAAACTTTTTGCTTCAGTCAACTCCCCGGCTTGACAGACTCTAGATCTGTCTGTCTGTCTGTCTGTCTGTCTGTCTGTCTGTCTGTCTGTCTGTCTGTCTGTCTGTCTGTCCGTCCGTCCGTCCGTCCGTCCGTCCGTCCGTCCGTCCGTCCGTCCGTCCGTCCGTCCGTCCGTCCGTCCGTCCGTCCGTCCTTCCGTCTGTCCGTCCGTCCGTCCGTCCGTCCGTCCGTCCGTCCGTCTGTCTGTCTGTCTGTCTGTCTGTCTGTCTGTCTGTCTGTCTGTCTGTCTGTCTGTCTGTCTGTCTGTCTGTCTGTCTGTCTGTCTGTCTGTCTGTCTGTAAATAGAAACGTCTCCGCTGCTTAATGTCTTTCAAGAAATTCATTGATGCAACATGTTTTTAAAAAAATTAAAACTGCCAGGATTTTCCCCATCTCCATGCTGATGCCTGAATATTTCCGAGCGAGCCGGATGTTACACCAGCAGTAACCAATTTTATATTTCAAGGTCAGCGGTCTCATATCTTCTTCTCATCATCATATTCTTCCTTTCTTCTTCTTCTCTTCTTCTTCTTTTTCTTCTTCTTTTTCTTCTTTTCTTCTTCTTCTTCTTCTTCTTCTTCTTCTTCTTCTTCTTCTTCTTCTTCTTCTTCTTCTCCTTCTTCTTCTTCTTCTTCTTCTTCTTCTTCTTCTTCTTCTTCTTCTTCTTCTTCTTCTTCTTCTTCTTCTTCTTCTTCTTCTTCTTCTTCTTCTTCTTCTTCTTCTTCTTCTTCTTCTTCTTCTTCTTCTTCTTCTTCTTCTTCTTCTTCTTCTTCTTCTTCTCCTTCTTCTTCTTCTTCTTCTTCTTCTTCTTCTTCTTCTTCTTCTTCTTCTTCTTCTTCTTCTTCTTCTTCTTCTTCTTCTTCTTCTTCTTCTTCTTCTCTTCTTCTCTTCTTCTTCTTCTTCTTCTCTTCTTCTTCTTCTTCTTCTTCTTCTTCTTCTTCTTCTTCTTCTTCTTCTTCTTCTTCTTCTCCTTCTTCTTCTCTTCTTCTTCTTCCTGTTATTATTATTAATAATATTATTCCTAATTCTTCTCCTTTTTCTTTCTAATTCTTCTTCTTTTTTCGTTCGCCTGAAATAAGTTGTCTATATCCGCAACTGCGTTTTTCGTATAAAACTGTCTTCTTTTTAAGTTCATTCAGTTTTCCGTGCAGTTTTCTTTCCATTGTTGTTCTTTCTAGCCAAAAGGTTTGCCCTAATGTGTCGTATTTGATTCTGTCGTGTAGACATGTTCTGCTTTCTGAGGCAACTTTCCACATGTGCGCCCCCGTCTAAGGTAGTTACAACTATGCTGTCTTACCAAGCCATCAGTTAATGTACACTGCTGGCTGAGTGAACGTTTTCTTCCTCTGGAAATGCCATCTGAAGGGGTCGTGTCACGTGACGTGGATGTTAATCCAACAAGGCAAGTCTGAGACACCCCGTTTAACTAATATGGGTATCCTACTGCCACACCACGTACTAGCGTCTTGTTCTGTGGCGGGTAGTAGATGAACGGGCTTACTAACCGATTATCTTCACCTCCGATTTGTGACCTCAAAGGTGCCACCCCGGCGACTCTTTTGGAACCATTGCGGACGTTAATCCAGCATGGTGTGAAGCAGATACCTTGTTCAAGTTTTTAAGTGATTGAAAACAAAGTACTTATGACGCCTGTACGCATAATTACCCTGGTGTGTCCTGCTGTACTGTGAGGGTAGGCTTTATGTTTTATAATGTGAGCTTTTGCTTTTTTTTTTTTTCGTTAACTCTCACGGAAAGCTCACCCGCTTGAAGACTTCAGTCTCTTTCCAAAGTGTGTTTTGCGTGCACTTCAGTTTTACAGATGTCGCTTATTTGTATAACAGACTTCTTGGCAGATGCACTCCGACTTCGGATGAAACACCCGTAATTGGTCATCTTTCACAATAAATTAGGCAGAGAAGCAGCTGGTAGGTAGGTAGGTAGGTATGTAAGTTGTACCCCACAGGTCATCACACTAGCGATAAACACCCGATGACACACAGTGCTACCATACGGATGAAGATCACCCGTAGAGAGTTCCCAGAAACCCCTTTCAGCCGTTAGACCATATCTTTGGCCAAGTTATATCTATGCCTCGGCTACATTCAGGGCCCCGGCAGAAGCCAGAGTGGGGCTTCAAACAAACAATTGCATCCCACATGGTATGTATATGAAAATAATGTAAAGTACAGATTACATGCAGATAAAGGTGTGCGTCTTCAGTTTGCCTCAATATCCACAGAAATAACATTGATTCGTCAAGTGGTTTTAGCTACCCAGATATCTCAATGATACACACATTCAAACTTAAACTTAACGTTAATCAGATTACTCTGGAGGGAGGTAAGTCGATCTACTTGTCTGTAGTCATGCAGTAGCTTTATAAATATTTACAGTTAGTTCCCTTAGAATAAACTATTTGGGATGGATATGAAGAAAAAAAAATCAGCCTGATGGTAACGGGTGTACATTTCTTTTTCTTCTTCTTCTTCTTCTTCTTCTTCTTCTTCTTCTTCTTCTTCTTCTTCTTCTTCTTCTTCTTCTTCTTCTTCTTCTTCTTCTTCTTCTTCTTCTTCTTCTTCTTCTTCTTCTTCTTCTTCTTCTTCTTCCTCTTCTTTTTCTTCTTTTTCTTCTTCTTCTTCTTCTTCTTTTTCTTCTTCTTCTTCTTCTTCTTCTTCTTCTTCTTCTTCTTCTTCTTCTTCTTCTTCTTCTTCTTCTTCTTCTTATTCTTCTTCTTCTTCTTCTTCTTCTTCTTCTTCTTCTTTTTCTTCTTCTTCTTCTTCTTCTTCTTCTTTTTCTTCTTCTGCATTTTCTTCTTATCATTATTATTATTAATAATGTAATGTTTATATTTAGCAAGAGTAAATATTTCTAAAACATTGTTATCTGCAATATGGGTTGAGTGGAAAAATTTGCAGTAAGATAAAAACAATTTCAAACTCAAGGATTCACAGGCGAAATTCTATGTCATTTTCTCATGACAAAAAAAAATTCAAAACCCATTTTCCCAACAGTTTCCTTGACGACATGGTTCTCTGCGGTTATATGACATTTTATTGACACGCATCATGTAGTTCAGTCTATGTCATACAGGGACTTGTTCTTTCTTCGTCAAAGAAATTTGGTATGGCTTTAACAGTGGTTATGAAAACAGAGACCTAGGGCACACAAAACAGGGAATCACCCAGTACACATTACACCCAGGAACCTTTAATGTACAAGTTTGGCGCTGTACACAAATATACGATGTTTTTGAGAAAAAAGGCCACAGCAAGATGTGTACAGATACAACAATTGTATGGGTTATCAATGTGTGATTATAATAAATATAAATGCAACTAGTATGTTTGTTGATTTGAAACTTGATTCGCTATTTCATAAAACGATTATGATATTAACTGTGATCGCGTTTGATTCAATAGGAATAGAAATAAAGGAATACAATCTTACAATCCTTACTCGTCTGTAGCAGCAGCCGCAGCAGTAGTAATAATAGCTGTAGCAGTAGCAGATGTGTTTTGCACAAGTAGTAGTAGTAATTACCATGTGAGTAGTAAGTAAAGTCCAGTAGCTGTAATAGTTGTCGTAATTGTAGTAGTAGTTTTAGTAATAGTAGTAGTTATTGTTGTTGTTTTAACTGTTTAGCAGTTACGAGTAAAGTCCAGTAGTTGTAATAGTTGTCGTAATTGTAGTAGTAGTTTTAGTAATAGTAGTAGTTATTGTTGTTGTTTTTACTGTTTAGCAGTTACAAGTACATTAGTAGAGTATCAGCAGTATCAGCAGTATTAGTCGTGTGGAAGAAGAGCAGAAGAAGCAACAGCAGCTGAAACTTATATTGTTGTTGTTGTTGTTGTTGTGTTTTTTTTTTTTTTTTTCAAGTAATTGTACGGTGCTGATACACTGTGATTGATTTTATTTGGCCTCACAATTTTTTTTTTCCACAAATGTTTTTGTTTAACCAGACAACTGATCAGACCCAAACGCCTAGTTATTGTGTACTTTTTTTTTTTTTGGAGCCATCTATCTACTCACTTCCTCTAACACAAATTACAATGATTGTCGAAATGGAATTTTAACGGTATTTTGCCAGCTCCCTACTACATTTGATTTTTTTTTCTTTATACATCCAACACAGTTTTATCTAATATGTTTTGTTATGACGTCTGTGGATCGCACCTTCTCCTGGCTAGTATTTATTTTCGAGGTCACACTCGCTTGTCAGAGATCCAACAAACAGACGAGTGATTTCACTCTGTGATACTTCAGATAAGTGATTTATTTATTTTTTTACTTTTGTTCACATTTGTGATCTTGTACATTTATGCAATGTGATGGTGCACGAGAGGACATGGTCTATTTTGTACAGGATTCCGTTGGTGGTCAGGATATCCTCGCTAACGGTTCGTGAGTGGGTGTTGACGTAGAGCCGTTTTCCTGTCGTCGAAAGCGAAGTCGGTTTCATCCTTCTGCATTGATCTCGTCGTGTAGACCCCACGTTCCGGGATTGAACACTTCAACACCATGCGGTTCAGCAGATGGCGTTCCACAAACTGAGAATGAATTCGTAAAGCCAAAAATTATATATATTGTTGTAAGCTCATAAACTCAAAGAGTAATATGTAGTATATATTGTTGTAAGCTCATAAACTCATAGAGTAATATGTAGTATATATTGTTGTAAGCTCATAAACTCATAGAGTAATATGTAGTATATATTGTAACGAGTTTCAATATCATCATGGAAGGACATTATATTTTTTTAATGTAAAAAGTGAAGGGCACTTCTTTACCCACCTTTAGGCATATTGGGCAGATGTGATTAGACCTATATTTTATGGACCAGCCTGTACTCGGTGGGTGTTGTGATAGCCCTCACGTTCGCCGCCTTTACTTCACATGACATTTTCTGGTACCCATTTAAGGCTCATGTGAAGCAACAAACCTCAAAATTAAACCATGGCGAATATTGTGTAATGTCTTGAACTCCCATCTGGTTAATTCAAGGCGCGCTGATATTGAGAAAACACGTGGATGGGCCAAGCTGTAGAGCCTAAAGCCCGCTATTGTTGCCTAGTAAAATCATGAAGGAAAGCGGGGGTTTGCGGGTGGGGACTGGGTCATAGGCTCTATAGGCTATTCTCTCTCGGAGCAGGATTGGGCGGTAGTGGGCGGGAGCTAAGTGGTCACATTTAATCATGTATATAAACTATCTTTACAAGTATATGTTCATACATTCTATACTGTTCCACGTATAGTAATATATTGCGGCATCCGTGGCTTAGGAGTTTCGAGTCCCTCGTAATTCCAATGTACAGCGATTGAAACCCACTGCTGGCTGCGTGGATTTTTATCATGGTATGGGGCGTCGCAGATCGGCCCAAGCCTAAAATGGGTACCAGGATGGCTGTTCTGGGGAAGTAAAGACGGCCACTTAATGCTGACCACATTACCCACCTAGTGCCGATGGTCTGTAGAAACATAGGTGCTCCTCCCATATACCTGATACTCATAATGGCGTGAAAAGAGACCTTTAGTTTACCCTTTTCACTATAGTGTCTGCCATTTAACACACTATTACTTTTATTATTATTATTATTATAACTACTATTATTATTATTATTATTATTATTATTATTATAACTATTATTATTATTATTATTATTATTTATTATTATTATTATTATTATTATTATTATTATTATTATTATTATTATTATTGAAGTGCAGAATGCCACTTAACTATAATAATACTTGAAATATTATTCGATGTATAAACACATTTCAAAGAAAACACCTCTGATTGGTCGTCTTCTATGCCCTGCTCGTTACCTTCAGCGATGACTTACCTTCTTTAATCGCCTCTTATCGCTGAGGATCTGTTGCAGCTGCTTCTGATCCACCTGGGACAGAGCTCGGTTTGTGGGAGCCAGGACCGTGTAGCTTCCATGAGGCAGCAAGCTTCATCCATGCCTGACTGCTGCAGCATCGACTTGAAGACACTGTCAGACAGCACAAGACATTTAATGAGACATTAAAGCAGTTAGACTGTCACACTTCTGGAAGTCAAAGACATTCAACAAACACACAAAACTCCAACTCTTGTGGGATTCCAGTGTTAACTTATGGATTCGAGAGTTGGAAAGCAAAGGTAGATCTAAGATAAATTAAACAGTTTTGTGAAAAGATGTCTTAAAAGAGTACTAAATCTCCCCTTGACAGATTTCAGATACTAAGCTGCAAGTAAGACAAGAGACCAAGCAAGATAATGTATCCAATTTTATAAAAAAAAGCGCTGCTGGAACTATGTCGATCCATGCACTCAGAATGGATAAGACCAGACTCCCCCATCAAGCCCTCGCATGGACACTGGAAGGGAAAAGAAAACGGGAAGGACCAAAAGAGACTCTACATAGAACCATCATCAGGAAAGACTCAACTACGGGCCTAATGAACATCCAAGACCTAAAACAGGTTTCAATGAACCGCCAGACATAGAGACCTATGACCTCTACCCTATGCACCGTCCTAGTCTCAAGAGGAAAGACTCACTAACTAATATGGTTCGAGACGTCTTTTTTTTTTCTCCTCCTCTGGCCTTGTTCTGCCTTTCAGTGTCAGGTCTTGAAGAGGCATAAAGTGCGAGCCTTGGTATGTGCTACACAGATGCTAGTAGTTACGGTCTTGGATGTTTCATCTCTCCATCTCTGGCTCTGCTTCCGTTATTTTCAAGTGACATGGTTCTCTCTGACGCACTTTTTGGTGGAAGTCTTAACACATTTCCAAACCACTTGATCTTTTGTCTCTTGATTTAGCTTTGAACTGGTTCCGCCCCATCTTCTTTCCTGATATCATCATTTCTGATCCATTCGTTTTAGACATTTCATTTTAAGTCGTGGAGATTTATATGGCATTGTTTGTACTTTTTTCTTCTACGCATCAATATTGCTCTTCAGTTTTTTTTTTTTTTTTTTTTAATATCCAGAAACCATGAGTTGTTAACCCTTTGGCTCGGTACTATGAATATCGCAACCCTTCGGCCTTGATTCCATGATAGGTACCGTAAATCTGGGAGAAAATGTGGCTTTTCTGCCTACCCCGGGAGTGAACCCGGACCACAAGGAGTTCGTCACCGTGTCACCGCACAGTCCGGTTTAGCCAACTACGCTAGAGAACCGGGCTGCTCTTCGATAATTTATAGTTTAATATTGTTTCTTATTCTTTTCATAATTATTCCCAGTTAACATTTTTTTTTTTTTTGTAACATGACTCACAAAATGTAAAGTGCGATAGTCTTGTCTTGACATTTTACATTGCCTTATTTCTTTGGCAGGGCAAAAAATATCGATTTTAATAGGTCACTGTGTATGTACCCACTAGTATAAATGTCATTTAACAATTTACAGTTTTGCTTAGAAACACTATTTAACTATAAAAAACGCTATCATTTTTAATAACAGTATAATTTTTTTATCGTGAATTTCAATTTTAAAAAAAGAAATCGTGATGAAAAAAAAAATTCCAGCTAACCGACTAATGTTAATACCTCCTGGCGGAAACCAATATTTTGTGATTGTTAACCCAGTTTTCTTCTTACGCGAGCTTGTGTCAGCGATATTTTACTGTCGTTTATTAATGAATTAATTAACTTCTGTGGCATAATTTCGATCAAAGCACTAAAGCGTTAGATTATAGTGTCCTTGTTGACTAGGCACAGTAGAGCAGACAAACTGAGGGTCCTCGGAAATATGGGTCACATTTGTATTGTTATGAGGGCCAAACTCGACAACTCATTGAAAGTTCTTTAGTAAACAGTATTGCAGAATGTGTTTACTGCGGGCTGCATGTGTGCTTGCAAAGGGCCGCATTTGGCCCGCAGCCCGCATGCCTGTTACATAGTGTCAGAAATTTGTGTTTTTTTTTCCTTGTGGGTTTTGTGGGATGAAAGAAAAACGTAAAGGGTACGAGACTGTTTAGTGTTCATGTGGTTCAAATTAGCTGATAAGGGACTCGAACCTATAGCCACAGCTCTACCGGAAAACCAGTGAAAATCAGTCATCATCATCACATTGTGCCGTTAAGGTAAGGGTAGGCTGTCATGTTTCACCGAGTCATTAGTCATCAAGGTGATATCACGATCTTAGCGTTTTTGACATCCTTAACAACAATACTAACAAGTTACAAGACAGTGACATGGTGATTGTATTTATAGTACCCTTTTCTGTGTGTGATCTTTATCTTTTAGATCTAGCACCATAATTCGCTTCGAGATGAATGTCCATTCCTTGATATTTCATGTTTGATTCCTCGCCAACCATACAGCCAACACTTTCTTTAGCTCGCTCCGGTATTGGAACACCACTGACGAGCAGCGTCATGACCTTGAAACCCATGCCCTACAAACTGTAGTGAATCAGTGACAATTACCAACGGTTTGGACATGGGCCGCCATAGCAGAGAGGGAAGCTAAGAACCAGGAAACCACACCACCAGGGCGACCCAGGGTATGCTGGGAAGAGAGCATCCAACAGTCCCTAACTTAAAGAGGACTCAAATGGAACAAAGTCAAAAAAAAAAGAACACTGCTGATAGAGAAGTCTGGTGATCTCGCTGGCAAACCTCTACACCCCAAGGTAAAAGAGGAGCGACTAAGAAAATAAAAGAGCTGAGTTGAGTTGAGTCAAGAATTGACATCACAGCACTTGGGGCATACACAAGCATGCTCCCTCCTCCTTTTCAGCAGCCAGCGCAGAGTTCCAATAGGGATGGTACCAGTCACAATCTAGTTAATAGTCCGTCTTGTCTTTCCTCTGAGTGTAGTGAGCCAGCCAGATCTTTGGGTTACACCCAGGTGCCTCATTGTCTCCAGGCCATAATAATCTTATTTCTCTACTGATTCTGTTGCTTGTTCCCAAAGGGCCTTGATCACATCTGCCTTTTTATGTATCAGTTCACCACCCAGTTGTGAGGATCGAGTCACTCTGTCCGTCTGTTCGTTACCTACCACGCCGGCATCGACAGGAGAAAAGATCCAAAGTATGCTCACCACCAGTGACCTTTCCAGTGAAGCTTGCCACTCTGCCCGAAGCATCCCTGTCTTCGCCTTTTTCAGCATGCTTTCTGAGTCTGTTACATTTACGACATGTGTATGCATCTTGTTCTCTAGCCACCGGATATTTTTTTCGACAGAAAAAAAACCTACACTATTGAAGTGTTTATTTGAAGCACTCTCACAAAACAAAATAATTGTTATGAAAGGAACAACCTCGCTGATTCAACCAGCAAAAAGATGGCAGTGTAGACATATGCAACATTAAAGGATGAATTCATCAATTGAGAATATACATCACTGCACTCAGGGCATTCCAACAAGTGCTTTGTCTTTTCTGACAGTAGCAAATAAAGAGCTGCTTTCATCTACTGAAGAAATAGATGCAACATCATGGATAGTGACACACGACGACACGTAGTACCTAAGAGACGTTGTATGTCAGGCCTTATCTTGTTCCACTTCTTCTTCTTGCGTTCTTCTCTGTCTGCTGTGAAGCTTTGCAGAAAGGAGTTAGATGCAGTTTTCTGTCTTCTGTTAATTTTGTAGCTTGTGTTAATATTGCATTTCTGTAGTATTTCTTTTACTACCCTCCACCCATCTCTTTCTTGTTGAGCCTCATGTCTTGTAGCCTGCTGACCCCTTGCAGTGAGTACATAACTGTTAGTCCAAATATTGATTAACCAACGAAAGAGGCAACTTACCTCAGGTCTGGATCATCCATTATATGATCGAGAAGACTGTTCTCTGGAGGCACCATAACTTTATCCACTTTATGGACCATGGCGTTCTTGCATTCCCGTGGGTGTTCTTCAATCGTTGCCTTATCCACGGTCACTCCCTGCAATATTTCACAGTCTCATTAAAGCGTATATCATTATTCAAACCATGGCAAGATTATCATCAACGTAACCTATTTATTTCAAACAAAGGATATATGCATTGCCTTTTAGGACGATGTAATCCAGCCTCAGCAGTACTGGTTTGTGGTTATACTAGACAAATGTTACATTCATTAGTTTGGCCTTGTTTTTCAACGGTAAGAGTTCCAAAACATAGTCAAAATACTTTAAAACAAACCCATTAACTTCTGCCAAAGTACCTGCAGCTGAAGCAATCACTAAGACACAGTTATTAGGTAAGGTAGTTGGGTGGGGGGGGGGGGGGGGGGGGGTTTTGTCTCAATTATGTCTTTTGCCTGTTTTTTTTTTTTTTTTTTAAGAGAGGGCAAAGTAATGTATTCCGCCTATTCAATTTGTAAATATGCAACTCAAAGTTATATATTTTTGGAATCAAGTTAGGTATTTTTCCATTCCAATGTTATTTCAATTTTAAAATTTTCTAGTTAAAGTCGGAGAAGCACTAAAGAAACTAAAAATGGGAACAATTCAAGAGCGGTGAAGGAATAGGTGAAATGCCTGGGCAACTACTGGTATCGACAGTTATAAGAGAGAGAAGATGGCGTTATACTGGACACATTCCCAGTAGAGAAAAACAGAAAATCACTAAACAGGCACTGAACTAAGAAACAGACGAATCGAGAAAACAAGGACGTTCAAGAGAAACGCTTAAGAGAACGCAGATGACAGAAACCAAAGGTGCTGGACTGGATTATATCCATGATATCGAAATGATTGAGCACGACATAATATAATATAAAAACAGACTGCGAGCCCTATGTGACATACAATAACACAATAGAACAATGGGTGAATGAATCTATTCAATTAGCAATCGATATATACTTTATTATATAAGTCAAAGGTCTAGCCCTATATGCCCAATACGCATAAAGGCGTAGAAAACTGTCCTTTACTTTCCATTTAGTGTATTACTATATGTATGTTTGTGATGTGTGCTCTCTTAATATATGCAGCTGTTAATAGCTCTTTCGTAATGCCGGGATGCCGGGTTCGTTCCCAGCTGCGGGCCATGCGCCTTGCGTTAGTTTCGACAGCGGTATCAAGAAAGTCAACCGTCCAGAAAGCAATGACAAACTACCGGACGTAAATTTGCCTAGATAAACCACACAACAGCCAGGGGTTGTTGGGGTTGGTTCTGCAAGGATACGCAACTAAACTTATTAGCTCTACATTTTCTTTGTTCTGTGTCTGCATTTACCAATAATGGGGTCGATTATTATAAAATCGAATACAATATTTAAATCATGCAAACAAAATACATTGCATAATTTATATATAACTAATTTGTCACCTAGGTTAGCGGGGTAGGGGTATCCCCTATCAAAGGAGAAGTAAGACGCCTCCTTTCCTCCGCTAGTCTACGGGACATTGGGCAAGGTGGGGAGTACCCGTTTAGCCCCCCCAATCGGTTAGTAAGCCATGGAAGCAGGTGGTGGATGGATGTAAGAGCCCGAATATATTGTTGGTTATGGTCTGCACTCTGCGGCGATAGGCAGATGATCTCATCAGTAGAGACAATGGCTATGGCCACCGACTAGTATAGTCACTGCTCAGGAGGAAAGCAACGGCAAACTACCTTCTGCAAATTTTGCCAAGAATCCATAACAATCATGAAAGAAAACATAACACAAGGCCAAGGAGAAGATGGGTGCGGGATAATAAGGACATCTTGATAGGAAGGTTTTCCGGAGTGTTGTTATGGCAGCGAGGTTCCGCGAGGGACATGCTACTGAATGAATGAATTTTGTCTTCTTTACTGCTCAATTTGTGCAGTAGTGTAATTATATAACCCAATATAATCTAATTACTTTGACTAATGTCAGATGAATAACTGTCCTGGACAGTTTTTACTTGAATGCCTTCTACTGCTAATAGTTTGAACTTTAATCTTGATAATCCTGATAACTGTCATGTTACTTCAATCTGTCTGACGGTGTTCAGGTCAATCCTGCTCAAACATACTGTTATTTTTAAACAAAAGCAATATTTCGTGTGACTTACTTGTCTGGTGACCTTAACCTTAATCTTGACGGCCAGGTCAGATAAGGTGTCCAGTGCTGTGTCTCCCACGAGCTCACCATCTGCTATACGACCTTTGACAATGTGGTACTTGGCCAGTTGTTCCATCTTCAGTGGTTGTTTGATCAAAGCTGCTAGGTACCGTGGGGATAGTTCTGAAGAGAAATCAATAGTACCTGTAATCATCATCATCATCGTTGACAGGGAGGCTGTGCGATCTTTGGATTCTCAGTCGTATCCCTTAAATATACTCAGCTGTAAAAACAAACACACTCGGGAAACAACCAAACAGGAAACGAATTTCTAAGAAAACCAAGATGGCGCAGAGGGGACCATTTTCCAGGATTATGTATAAGGCAATAGGTAAGAGTTTGAACCACCTCGCACGAGAAACTTTCAGACAGCATGCAGATATCCCAGAAACCAGTATTGCGATGTGTAGAGCTCTCGCCCAGAGTATAGACCAGCATCTTGGATCTGTCACCCCACATCTAGAGGTCTCCGCGATGATCGTCAAAAAATATAAACTGCGTCACAACAAAGAGCTCTGTCCTTTTATATGCTCTGAAATCAGTATCCCTCCATATTTTGGACATGTATTTTTACTGAGGTTTCGCTGAAGATGTTGCAACAAAGGGAGGAAGTGGAAACTACAAAACATACCCAAATAAAAACACAAATATACACTCGATAACGGAGGGAGACACGAGCTTCATAGCGGAAGCAACTAGCATCCTTTTAATTGTGCCTTTCGAGCAGTATTGAATAATAAAACTGTCATATTCACTGACTTCAAAGCAGTTTCTCCAGACCGTCTGGTGCTCTGAACAGGACATCGTCATGAACGAAATCAAGAACAATATCAGAATGCTATTCACAAGAACGCAACTAGTAATCCAATGGATACCGGTCTTCTGTGGTATCCCTGGAAACGAAGAGACAGACAAGTTTGCAAAGATTGCTGGGAGCGTAGATCCTCGCCACACAGCTCAGAGTTTTAGAGGGACAACAGACACACACAAAAACAGTCGATGACGACAAACTGGAGAGAGAAGAACAACAGTTACATACCGCAGGAGGACAGCCGGAACAGGCTTGGCAGAAATGCTCAAAGCAAAAAGTTTCTAACATCATTTCAGAACTAATTTGATCGCACTAATGGTTTTAATCCACGTGGTCGGTTGAAGAATGGTTGGCCGTTGGGCCCAGAACTCCAGCGACTACCACACGATGGAGTTGTGGGTTTAATATTTATTTTTTTTTTTTTTTTTGGGGGGGGGGGCGCAAAATAATAGACACAGTGTCTACTAACAAACGTGTCGTAAGATGCGACTAATTTTTTGTGTTTCCATCGAAGTCGGAGTGCATCTGCCCGAGAGGCAAGTAACCAACTGCCAGTATACAAATTTGATATTTTTGTAAAACGAATGTGCACGCAGAACTCATGTACTGGAAAAAGACCAAATGCAAAAGTGAACTAACAATGTCGGAGTTAACAGCTGGTGAACGTGAAGAAGACAGAAGAAAGATTCCTAAACCCCTCCCCCCCCTTCCCCCTCCCCCCCCCCCCCCAAGTAATTTGAAAATTACACTTTGACCTTCATAGCACTCAGCAAAGAATTTAGCCACTTAGTGACGTAGATCATACCCCACATCTACGTGAGATACAGAATGCGTGTAGATACTGACCCCGAAAAGCCTTGTCCGTAGGGATGAAGAGTGTGATGTTGTCGGTGCCCAAGGTGTAGTTGATGCCTGACAGACTAGCCAGCTCCAGAAACTTGTCCAGATGCATGTCATGGAGCAGTTCCGTCGCCGACTTCACTGTCAGAATCAGATTTCAGTGTTTATACATGGACATATAGTTATCCCACATGGATATACAGTTATCAGATATGGACATACAGTTATCCCACATGGATATACAGTTATCAGATATGGACATACAGTTATCCCTCATGGATATACAGTTGTCAGATATGGACATACAGTTATCCCTCATGGATATACAGTTGTCAGATATGGATATACAGTTATCCCTTATGGATATACAGTTATCAGATATGGATATACAGTTATCCCTCATGGATATACATTTATCAGATATGGACATCTACTTATCCCACATGGACATACAGTTATCCCTCATGGATATACAGTTGTCAGATATGGACATATAGTTATCCCTCATGGATATACAGTTATCAGATATGGACATACAGTTATCCCTCATGGATATACAGTTGTCATATATGGACATATAGTTATCCCTCATGGATATACAGTTATCAGATATGGACATACAGTTCTCCCTCATGGATATACAGTTATCAGATATGGACATACAGTTATCCCTCATGGATATACAGTTATCAGATATGGATATACAGTTATCCCACATGGATATACAGATGTCAGATATGGACATATAGTTATCTCACATGGACACATAGTTTTCACACAAGGATATATAGTTTTTACAAAAAAATAAAGATGTCAGACAGGGACAGAAAGTTATTTTACATGGACATACATTTATCAGACACGAACATATAGATAACATGCATAGACATACAGTTACCACACGAACATATAGATAACATGCATAGACATACAGTTACCACACGAACATATAGATAACAGGCACAGACATACAGTGACCACACGAACGTATTCATAGCCAATGCATGTTCAGTGTCTTGTATCCACATCTGCGAAGGTCAGATTCTGCCTCGTGTTCTGGAAACTGCATCCCCTATCCCCCCTCCCCCCCCCCCAATCCATCCCCCAATCGCCGTTCTTTCCAGGCTACTACGACCTCTAGAGCTAAATAAGTTAAATTACAAAACCTCATAGATGTCTATAACTATACTTACCAGAGTCTGGCAACAGAACCGTGTCTATGCCATGCATGACCCCATTTGACGCCACCAAGTCAGGATGGACCACTTTAGCTTCATTAATCCACAACCCATCTCTCTTACAGCGGAACAGGAGTCTGGCGTCATCCATGGTCTTGAGGCCAACAGCAACAACTATGGCATCGGCGCAGTAGACGCCTCGCACCACATGCCGTTGCAGAACTTCTGGAAGTAGTCAGATAAACAAGAGTTCAGTACTCTGCTTTAACTGCTGTAGCATAGGATAAGCCTAGATATTTCATTATTTACAAACCCTCTCTGCTTAGTGACATGTCACAGCGATGCTGGACTACATAAACACGGGGGAAAGCAGTTTTTTGAGTTCACCAGCTGTAAACTCCTGCAGAAAGTCCTGTTTGAGTTCACTGGCTGTAAACTCCTGCAGAAAGTCCTGTTTGAGTTTACCGGCTGTAAATTCCTGCAGAAAGTCCTGTCTGAGTTCACCGGCTGTAAACTCCTGCAGAAAGTCCTGTCTGAGTTCACCGGCTGTAAACTCCTGCAGAAAGTCCTGTCTGAGTTCACCGGCTGTAAACTCCTGCAGAAAGTCCTGTTTGAATTTACCGGCTGTAAACTCCTGCAGAAAGTCCTGTTTGAGTTTACAGGCTGTAAACTCCTGCGAAAAGTCCTGTTTGAGTTTACAGGCTGTAAACTCCTGCGAAAAGTCCTGTTTGAGTTTACCGGCTGTAAACTCCTGCGAAAAGTCCCGTTTGAGTTGGCTGGCTGTAAACTCCTAGGGAAAGTCCTTTTCCGGACTGTAGCTTTGTTTCAGGAACTGAGCTTTGTGTGTGCATCCGTTTTACGTAACTGCATCTGCCACACTCGCTTGAAGTATGTTTCCTTGCCTATCAAACGTATGCATACCGACTTCAAAGAAAATGGAGAAAGCAAATACAATAGTAAAGTTTTGGAAGTTGGTCAGTAGGTAGAAGGATGAACGGAGGGACGGGTGGAGGTGAGATTGAGACACCAACCAACAGAAGGGCAGGCAGACAGTAAGATAGACAACCAGACAGACAGAGAGATAAACAGATATGTAGACAGGTATACATAAATCAGATAGATAGAATGAACAAACGAGAAAAGTGTATTTTTCAGAGTTATTTTTCCACCCAGAGGGTTAGGATTTTGAGATGCATACCGCTAGTCTGCCATCCTGCCTTTAGACAGATAGTTAGAAGAGGCAAAGTGACAAAGGTCGCAAGAAATGCACTTGTACCGCAGAAACTTCAACACATGAAAGGCACCTCGGACACTACAAACAAACAAAGGTATCATCAGACAAAGGATGTGCTGTAACAGAACATAGAAGTCACTAATGATAGCCCAGGAAAGGATTCAAATCTCCAGGTACTTGAACTGAAAGTTACGTTTTCAGTCTGCTTCTAGCGGTGCAGGGAGGGCGCGAACACCGAACAACAAAAGAAACCAGATAAACAATATTAAAGACACCAGGTTTGGTATTTATATGACAGAAGCTGGTTTGTTGCAAGTGTAAAGACATTTCTCCTTTGCGAACTGAGGATGAATAAAGAATACAGGAATAAAGAACTTAAAGGGGCGTAGAACAAAATAATAAATACAAACCTAATACACATGTATGGGTATTTGGTGAAAGTGGGGTATGTAAAGAAGACAGAGGTGAAATAAGAAAAGAAGACATATTTGCGGTAGGCGTTCTTGTAGTTGAAATAGCAACACTGGTAGTAATAGCAGCAGCAGTAGTAGAATTAATATTATTTGCAGCAGTTGCAGTAGTAGTAGATGTGGTGGTAGTTGTAGTCGTGGTAGTTGTAGTCGTGGTAGTTGTAGTCGTGGTAGTTGTAGTCGTGGTAGTTGTAGTAATGGTACTTGTAGTGATGACTGCAGTGGTAGCTGTGGTAGTGGCACTTGGAGGTACTGGTATTTACTGTAGTGCTACCTGTGATGTAATAGTTCAGGAATGGCTAATCATAGTGGGTAAAAACGCGTATCAATATAATGAAGATTGACAAAAGGGTAAGAAATGATACTGATGACATGGACAAAAGGGTAAGAAATGATACTGATGACATGGACAACAGGGTAAGAAATGATACTGATGACATGGACAACAGGGTAAGAAATGATACTGATGAAATGGACAACAAGGTAAGAAATGATACTGATGACATGGACAACAGGGTAAGAAAGGATAATGATGACAATGACAACAGGCTAAGAAATGATACTGATGACATGGACAACAAGGTAAGAAATGATACTGATGACATGGGCAACAGGGTAGGAAATGATACTGATGACATGGACAACAGGGTAAGAAATGACACTGATGACATGGACAACAGGGTAAGAAATGATAATGATGACATGGACAACAGGCTAAGAAATGATACTGATGACATGGACAACAAGGTAAGAAATGATACTGATGACATTGACAACAGGGTAAGAAATGATACTGATGACATGGAAAACAAGGTAAGAAATGATACTGATGACATAGACAACAGGGTAAGAAATGATACTGATGACATGGATATCACGGTAAGAAATGATACTGATGACATGGGCAACAGGGTAGGAAATGATACTGGTGACATGGACATGAGGGTAAGAAATGATACTGATGACATGGACAACAAGGTAAGAAATTATACTAATGACATGGAAAACAGGGTAAGAAATGATACTGATGACATGGACAACAGGGTAAGAAATGATACTGATGAAAAGGACAACAGGGTAAGAAATGATACTGATGACATGGGCAACAGGGTAATGTGATACTGCATGAAATCTGGACAACAGGGTAAGAAATGTCGTACTGATGACATGGACAACCAGGGTAAGAAATGTCTACTGGGTGACAACCTGGGTGCGAAGACTACAGAACATAGAGGCGATGCCGTAGATAAACACAAACATGGAGCTAGGTAGGTCAGAAGTAACTGTGAGGATCTATGGTCGAGGATGTCGCTAGGAAGTTTGGAGAAGGCCTGGTTGGTCGGGGCAAGTATTGTGAAACTATGGGTGCTAGACTTGAGCTTCTTTATCATGTCGGACACCAGCAGTGCCATCTGGAACTGGGAAAACCGGTCGTCCTTCATGATCTTCTCGGCCAGGTTCCCTCGTATGTCTGCTGGGTTGATAACCTGGGTGCGAGTGAATACAAGAACATAGAACAATGATAGGTCAGAAGTAACACAAACATGGATCTATGGTAGGTCAGAAGTAACACAAACATGGATCTATGGTTAGTCATAGCTAAAACAGAAATGAAGTTATTGTTGGAAAAGGTAACACAAACATGAAGTTGTGGTTGGACAGAGGTAACACAAACTTGAAGTTGTCGTTACACAGATGTGACACAAACATGAAGTTATGGTTAGGCAGAGGTGACACACAAATAAACTTATGGTTAGATAGAGGTGATACAAATATGAAGTTATGGTTAGACAGAGGTGACACAAACATGAAGTTATAGTTAGACAGAGGTGACACAAACATGAAGTTATAGTTAGCCAGAGGTGACACAAACATGAAGTTATGGTTAGACAGAGGTGACACAAACATGAAGTTATAGTTAGACAGAGGTGACACAAACATGAAGTTATAGTTAGACAGAGGTGACACAAACATGAAGTTATAGTTAGACAGAGGTGACACAAACATGAAGTTATAGTTAGCCAGAGGTGACACAAACATGAAGTTATGGTTAGACAGAGGTGACACAATCATGAAGTTATAGTTAGCCAGAGGTGACACAAACATGAAGTTATGGTTAGACAGAGGTGACACAGACATGAAGTTATAGTTAGCCAGAGGTGACACAAGCATGAAGTTATGGTTAGACAGAGGTGACACAATCATGAAGTTATAGTTAGCCAGAGGTGACACAAACATGAAGTTATAGTTAGCCAGAGGTGACACAAACATGAAGTTATAGTTAGCCAGAGGTGACACAAACATGAAGTTATGGTTAGATAGAGGTGACACAATCATGAAGTTATAGTTAGCCAGAGGTGACACAAACATGAAGTTATGGTTAGACAGAGGTGACACAGACATGAAGTTATAGTTAGCCAGAGGTGACACAAGCATGAAGTTATGGTTAGACAGAGGTGACACAGACATGAAGTTATGGTTAGACAGACTTGACACAAGCATGAAGTTATGGTTAGACAGAGGTGACACAGACATGAAGTTATAGTTAGACAGAGGTGACACAAGCATGAAGTTATGGTTAGACAGAGGTGACACAAACATGAAGTTATAGTTAG